GCAAGAGGATTGCCTGAGTCCAGGGGTTCAAGACCAGCCTGGGCAACTTGGCGAGACCTTATCTCTACAATAAATCAAAAAATTAACCGAGTGTAGTGGCATGCACCTGTAGTTCCAGCTACTTGGAAGGCTGAGGTGGAAGGATCGCCTGAGCCCAGCAGGTTGAGGTTGTGGTGGCCTTGAGCGTGCCACTGCACTCCAACCGGGTGACAGAGTGAGACTCCAACTAAAAAAATAAAAATAAAAATAAAGTAACCAGGCTGAGGCAGAAGGATCACTTGAGCCCAGCAGGTCGAGGCTGCAGTGGCTGTGAGTGTGCCACTGCACTCCAGCCTGGGTGACAGAATGAGACTCCGACTCAAAAAACAAAGCTATGATGTGTGGGGGTGACTCTGCCCATCTGTCTGCATGACTCAGGAGGTCCAGTTACCTGCTTTCACCCACCTGTCCTCACACATCAGCTCTGTGTGAGTTTATCATTGTTATTAACGGTCATTAATGCTGTGATGTGAGTTTTCTTGCACTTTGAAATACCTTCCAAAGTATTGGCCACCATTGTCTGTAGTCACCTTTTATCCATTTTACAGATGAGAAAAAATCTAAGATTTGAGGTTCAATCCTCATTGCCAGCAGATTTTCTTGTCCCTCTGTGTTCTGATTTTATAAACATCCCTCTTCCCAGCATCCCTGGTGACTCACAGGAGGTGGGAGGAGCCATGGAGAGGGCATTCCCTACCGACACCCAGCTGTCCACCTTACCACTGCCCGCCTCCGTCAATCCCAGGCCATGAAGGAGGGAGTGAGGGGAGGGTGATGAAAAGGGCCTTTGTGTCCCATGCTGGAGCTCTCATACCCAGAAGGGAAGGTGGGTCTGGGAGGCCTTCAGAGCATGTGCCTGGGGCATTGCTGATGCAGAGGGAGCTTCTCTCTGGGCTGGGCCCACCCTCTGCTTTCCTTACTCTGCTCTTTCACATCACGATGTCAGCTGCTGCAGGGGTCTGGGTGGAACTTGTGCCCTGAGGTCACAGAGCAGCGTCCATCCCATCCCAAGTGGGCACAGGATGTGTACTGTGTGCCAGGACAGGCCCAGAGCCCAGGTGGTGTTGGGTGAGGGGAAGGTGGGCTCTCCATTTCCTTGTCTGGCATGAAACCTAACTCCTGGCTAGAGATGCCTGAAGGGGAAGAAGGGAGACCCAGCATGGTGTGAAGAAGCATGAGTCTCCTTCTCGCTTCCTCCTCCTTTGCAGGAGTAGCCTCTTTCTGTCTCCAACCCAGGACCTAGACCCTGTCCCTCAGTTCTGATTCCACCTGCTTTTATGCAACTATGCTCTGAATCAAGTCCCTTCACCTCTCCGAGCCTCAGTGTTCACATCTGTAAATGGCTGTGAGGGGGCTGAGTCTGTGCCATCCTCCCAGGTTTGTAGGGACCAAGAGGGGTTAGAACGCATGAGTGTTTTGTAGGGTGTAAATTGTGTTGGTTTACTGGGAGTACTTCTTCCAGAGCTGCAGGAGGTTGTGGGATCTTGAGACCACCTCTGTCTGACTTGGGAAACTGTTACCCCATCACAGATGAGAATTGCCCGAAGAAGACCTTCTTCCATCCCCACCTTACCCTGGGAGGAAAGTGCAGGGGCCTCAGGAATATGACACACATTGCCAAGAGACACCAACCCAATTTAAACCCGAGGCTTCCTGTATGCTTTACAACTCCTCAGACTTCCATCCCACAGCTCCAGGGTGACACCCTTGGGTGGGCAGTTTAATCTTCTGGGAATTTGGGCAGTAGGAGAGGCAGCTGCTACTCCCATGACCCTTAGCTCCTCTTCCCCAAGTTTCTGCTCAGTGTATGGGGTGGGGAGAGAGTGCCAGGCTCTTTACTTGGACATGCTGGGCACCCTGAGGGGACCTGACCCTGAGACTGCCCCCAGTGTTGCCCTAACCCTGGTGGCAGGCAGGCAAGGGTTAAAAGGTGTGGGCCGGCCCAGTTCCTGGCCAGGTAGGCTGGGCCATTACCTTGTGGGAGGCGGCCAGGGCATCTGCCACTGCTGCTTACTGCCACTACCAGCTGGAGCCAGGGCCTGGTCGAGACAACTATTTCTTTGAGGTACTGAGGCTACCCCACAGCACTCTCTGGCATTGGTGAGCACCTGGGAGCAGTGGGCCAGGGGCATGGGGGGTCGAGGGCACTGAGGGGCTGGGGTGTATGAAGTTCCCTTGAGGAGAGAGCAGGTCTGTGGGAGAGGTATACCAATAATGCGGGGCAGGGCAGGGGCTACAGCGAGGGTGGAGGACCTGAGTAGAGGGGCAAAGCCCGGAGTGTCCAATTTCGTTTCCTGGCGAAAAGCCGATTCCTGGCCGGAAATGGACTGGGAGGGATGGGGGAAAATAGGAGTATGAGTCTCCTTCTCCACTCCACCCCCTACTTCCTCTCCTTTTTCTCCCCGTGTGAAATAGCTTCTGCCCTCCCTAACCCGGGCCCAGCTCCCCAGGAAAAGCCAGATTGAGCTATTAAGAAACCATTACTCAAGTACTTGCTCCCCCCCCCACGCCATTTGGTCACTAGAGTGGAGGAAGTGGGGCCTACAGTGGGGGGGGGGGCAACAGTCCAAACCTTGAGAGTTATAAAAATAAAAAAATAAATTGCTCCAATAGTGGCAGGATGTGGAAATAGGGGCCTCGCTGACTGTTACGGTGCCACCCAGGTGAGGTGTCGTGGTTATAAACAGTCATTACAGCCAGGAATTTCTTTCTAGCTGTGGTGTCAGAAGGGCAGACCTGAAAAACCTGCTGGGCCCGCCTCTGGGTGTGGGGGGTGCCCTCTGCAGCTCTCCTGCTGTAGCCCATCCCTGGGACAAGATGGGGGCATGGGGTCACCAGTGGGGAAACTCAGGACTGATGTGAGGGTGTACAGGGGAGGGGGGTTGCTGAGATCTCCTTCTTACTGTCTCTGGGTGGGGACATGGCAGCCCCGGCCCTCAGGCAAGTGCACAGATGGCAGGCAGAGGTTTCGGAACCAAGTGTGGGGGTGTGGGGGTGTGGGGCGTTGACCCTGTGTCTAGCCTGCCCAGTGACCCCATGACTCATGCCCTAGCTATGTCCCAGAGGTCAGGCTGACAAGGAGGAGTTGGGATTCCCATCTGTACCCCGTGTTGACTTTTAGGATGCTCTGAGCTCCCAGAGAAGGAAGGATTGAAGCAGCCCAGTGTGGAATATGGGACTAATCCTGGCAGATGGACCCATCAGGGTGGGGGGGGGGGGGTAATTGGGTTCCTACTGGGGTAGAAGAAGGTTCAGGGGAGCCCTGTGAGAGTTCCCCAAACCCAAATGGGGGCTGGACAAGTAAGAGCCCCTAGAGCCGAGGGCAGAGGAGGCTGAACTGGGACATCAAGGAAAGCCTGCCTTGCTGAGAAACATCAGACCTTAGATGGTGGACACGTGAGGACCTCTGCAGAGGCTGGGGCCTAGATTTGTCAAAAGGCTTTAGAGACTGACCCCTGCCCCTGATGTTGAAGACAGGGCACCACTGTTTGCTGGGAGAGACCCTGGTACAGACCCTATAGGGCAGGAAAGAGGACTGCAGAGGAAGTGGTAGTACCTTATAGGCGGCTCGGCCACACCCCACAATATACGGATGGGGAAGGGGCTTGGACCCATGTCTCCTTGGTTGCCTGGGTTTTCCTGACACCTAGCTACCATATCATGACAAGCTGTAGATTCAAGGTAGTTGGAGATGGGAAGTCTGTGACCCCATGAGGTCCTCCCAATCACCTGCCACTGAGGTTAGGCCAGGTGGCGGAAGGTGATGTCACCCGGCTGCCCAGCTGGGGACTGAGCAGGATGTGGGAGGGAGGAAACAGACTCCAGAGGAGGTGATGAAGGCAGGTGGAGGCCAGCCAAGGCAAGTTCCATGGTCAGCCAGGGTGTCTGGGGGCAGAGAAGGAGGCAGGAGCAGGAGGCAGGTGATTTGTTACCTGCAGCTCTGGACTTTGCTTCTCACAAATCCTGGTAGGGTGACCTCCCTATGCTAGTCTCAGGACAAGCTGGGGTGAGGAGAGGGGCTGGAGGGACCCTGGGTCAAATGAATTCTCTCTGTGCTGCACTAGGGCTGCGGGATGGAGTTGGGAAAGTATAGACTCACAGATCTGGGCTGGAACCCTGGCTTCACCAACTTGTCATTTATTGACTCAATCATTTAGTCATTCAACCGGCAGGCATTTACTGAGCACTTGCATGTGCAGCAGTATTCAAGGTGCTGGAGATACTGATGAAAACAGGACAGATAACTGTTTCCAGTCCTCGTGAATTTAAGAGCCAGATGCAGTCTCTTGTTGGACAGAAATTGTGAGAGGATATAATGCAGGGGTCACCTCTGGAACTGACATTTAAGCCCCAGAATGGCAAAGGAGATGCAAGGACTGGGGTGGTGAGAGGTTGAAGAAAGTGTTTCTGACAGCAGCCACAGCCTGGGCAAAGGCCCTGAGGCCTGAGGGTTGGGGAACATGTGAGAAAGTTGGTGGAGTTGGAGCAGCTCTAGTGAGAGTGTAGTACGGGGTGGGGGGGCAGGCCTAGGCTGTGTCCTTCGCTGTGGGCAAGTTATTTCACCTCTGTGCAACTCCCTCTCCTTAGTTCTGAAATGAGAGTATTAGTAATAATAGTTCAGGGGGTTGTGGAGATTAAATGGGGCATAGTAGGTATCTGCTTCAGGCACCCAGGAGCAGTTGTTCTTCCTTTACCCATTGTTGTTACAGTTGGCTGAATCTGTACCATTAATTCTCCCTCCCCAGGCAAGATTCGTGACTGTGGCCCATGGGCCTCTGAGGAGGCATAAGTCCACCCAGCTCCCTACCTGCTGTGTTCCCACTCAATGGGAAGAGAACCAAGGTACCAGGGCCAAGTGGGTCCAGATACCCACACAGATTTGAGGGGGCAGGTCACACAGATAGGTGGGGACATAGGTACCCTTTTATCCTAGCTGGGGTGTGGGAAGCTGGGAAGGGATGGGGGTTGCGGTATCACAGGATGTGCTTCCTTAATGGCTTCTGTGTGTCACTGCCAGACCTTGTCCAGCCATTAGTCACGGCTTCTCTACAGCACCAGGATGGAAGTCAAAGGTCAGCTGATCAGCTCTCCTACCTTCAATGCCCCAGGTTGGTGGCTGGTTCACCCTCCTGCTGCCTTTTCCCCTGCTCAAAGTCACCACCTGCCCACTTGGGAAGGGTTGGTCCCTGGCCCCATACCTGCTTCAGGATGTCCTGGCTGTCCCACTGATCTTTGCTCCCTCTGTGCAGCTTCCCTGTTCGGAGAGGCTGCCCCCCAGGTGAAGTCAGAACGTCTGCGGGGGCTGCTTGACCGCCAGCGGGCCCTGCAGGAGGCCCTAAGCCTGAAGCTTCAGGAGCTCCGCAGAGTGTGTCTCCAGGAAGCGGTGAGGGCCCTGCCTTAGGGGTCTCAGGTGTGGATGTGAGGAGCCGGGACTCCTAGGGAGGCAAACTTTGGTGGCAGTTGTCTGGGGTGTAGATTCCCTGTCACCCACCCTCTTTCTCTTCAAAGCTCAGCTTAGATGTCTTAGAATCAATCAAATGGGCTGGGTGCGGTGGCTCAAGCCTGTAATCCCAGCACTACGAGAGGCCGAGGCGAGAGGATTGTTGGAGCCCAGGGGTTCAAGACCAACTTGAGTAACTTGGCGAGACCTCGTCTCTACAATAAAATAAAAAAATTAGCTGAGCATGGTAACGCACGCCTGTAGTTCCAGTCACTTGGAAGGCTGAGGTGGAAGGATTGCCTGAGCCCAGAAGGTTGAGTCTGAGGTGGCCATTGAGCGTGCCACTGCATTCCAGCCTGGACAACAGAGTGAGACTCTGACTCAAAAAAAAAAAAAAAAAAATCAATGAAATGTCAACACTCCTCTGTTGACAATTTGATTCCCAGAAAAACCTCAAAAAAACAAGTTATTTCCAAGATTTGGCAGCAAAACTTGACCTGAACTAATATGAGGTGATGTCTAGCTTCGATTTACCCCTCTTAGCGTGAATGTCCTCATAATTTGCCAGGGATGATAATGTGGCTCAGTCCATACAGCCTCAGACCCTAAAGGGAGTGTATGTAATATATAGTCAGTGACACCTTTATAAAAACTAAAAAATTCTGGATTTAAAAAAAATAAAAAGTAGAGACAGGTCTTGCTATATTGCCCAGGCTGGTCTTGAACTCCTGGCCTCAAGTGATCTTGCTACCTTGACCTTTCAAAGTGCTGGTATTATAACCCTGAGGTTCCATGCTCTAGGTACCTAGAGTCAGAATTTTAGATTCTAAAGCAGGTCTCCATGCCCCCACCCCAGGGGTTTGGGCCGTTGAGGGGCTAAGACTCTACAGTGCACACCTACTAGTGAAGATATTGGGAGGAGGAAGGGAATATCTTCCATGTGGTGCTGAGGAGTAACAGCTCCTAGCAGGATTTCTGTATCTTTTGGAATCATTACTGACTGCTTTACCCTATCCTCCCAACAAATGCTCAGTTGTCTCTGACCCCTCTTCCTCCCCACAGGAGCTGACTGGCCAGCTGCCCCCTGAGTGCCCACTAGAGCCTGGGGAACGGCCCCAATTGGTCCGCCGGCGGGCCCCTGCAGCCCGTGCCTACCCTCCACCACATCCCAACCCAGCACACCACTCCTTGTGCCCTGCTGAGGTGAGCAGATGAGTCTGTAAACCAAGAGGGTGAGGAGAGGGGTTAAGTACAGTGGAGGAGCCAGGAGGAAGGTGTGGGCGGAGTGGGGATTGCAGTCAGGGGAGGGGCAGGCTAAGATGAGAAGGGAAGGCGCTTGAGGAGCGGGTTCCTTCTGTGAGGGAGGATGTTGGTCTCTAACTCTGTTAGGACAGCCCTCCCATTCCCAGGAAGATGAACAAGCCCAGCTCCTAACCATGATAGGCCCTGGCCCCCGCCAAGGATGATAAGCTCCACCTCAGGTGAATAGGCCGGCCTTCAGAAAGAGCAGGCCTGCTCCCAGTGTAGACGGGCTCTGCCACTCACTGCGTGGTCCCCGTGCCTGGCCATTTCCAACATTTGGTCTTGTCCCGCCCCTCTTGGGTGGCCCCGCAGGAGCTGGCTCTTGAGGCCCTGGAGCGTGAGGTGTCAGTCCAGCAGCAGATCACGGCAGCTGCCCGCCGCCTGGCCCTGGCCCCTGAGCTGAGTGCTGAGCAGCGCCGGCGCCGGCGCCAAGTACAGGCAGACGCTCTGCGGAGGCTACAAGAGCTGGAAGAGCAGCTTGGGGATGCCCGGGCCCGCCTTGGCCTCCCAGTGCTCCCCCCATCCCAGCCACTACCACTGTCCACGGGGGCAGTGATCACTGCACAGGGAGTCTGCCTGGGCATGCGCCTCACTCAGCTCAGCCAAGGTGAGTGTCCCCTAGTGAGAGTGAGAAAGTGGATGCTGGCTACTGGACATGGTAGGAATGGGATGGGTGAATAGCCAGTGAAGGCTGGGAGATGGACAGAACTTAAGGGACTCAACCAGTAAGAAGAGTTGTGATAAACTGGCTCACGGGGAAGGGGAAAAGGGAAAGGGCGGGCCATGGGGGACTGATGAATAGGCCCTAGGAAAGCAAGGAACCAAGCCACGGTGGTCTTGGACTCAGGTAAAGGCAGATTCTTGGGAGGGGAAGAGACGGCTCAGAAGGTGGGCCAAGCAGAGGCACCCATTCTAGGTGTAAGGGGTGGCACCCGGGCCTGGGAGTGAGAGGCCTGGTTCTCCCCTTCTCACCTGTAGAGGACGTAGTTCTGCACTCGGAGAGCAGCTCCCTCTCAGAGTCTGGGGCCAGCCACGACAACGGTGAGAAGTCCTATCCCCTAAGCCCTCCTGTGTCCCCTCAACTCATCCTTTTTTTCTTCTGACCACATTCTGCATGATTAACCCATCCTTTGATGCTCAGCCCCTCCCCCACTTACTTCTTCAGCTCCTCCTTAGCCGTGCTCCATCATTCCTGTGGCCCCACTTCACTCCTGCCCTCTCAGCCCTAGGACCTACTCATCAGCCCCTTCCCTATATTTTTTGTCCTGCCTCCCCTTGGCTCCTCCTCAGCCTGCTTAACCCTCTTCTACCACTTGGCCCCTCCTCTGCTTCCCAGGCCTCTAGCCTAGGCTTTGCTCCCATCCTATCCTGCCTCCTCTAGGCCCCCTATCATTGATTTCTACCCCACTTTCTCTCTTCCACCCAGAGGAGTCCCGTGGGTGCTTCTCTCTGGCAGAGCGCCCCTCACCACCCAAGGCCTGGGACCAGCTTCGGGCAGTATCTGGGGGAAGCCCTGAGCGGCGAATTCCATGGAAACCACCCCCATCAGATCTTTATGGAGATCTGAAGAGCCGACGGAACTCTGTGGCCAGCCCCACCAGGTGAGGATGAGCCCCTTCTCCCCCCTCCCCAGGAGCCAGGACTGGGGTCCTGAGCCTGGGCTATCACGAGGTCCTGCTGGTAGGTATGGTCTCTAACCTGGGCCTGCCCATCTCTGTCTAGCCCTACACGATCGCTGCCCAGGAGTGTCTCCAGTTTTGAGGGGCGAAGTGTGCCTGCCACCCCTGTCCTCACCCGGGGTGCTGGCCCCCAGCTCTGCAAGTAAGTGAAATCTGAGGGTGGGTTTGAGGATCAGAGGAGGGAACCATTAGTTCTCACTGGAGGTGGTGAGAGGCATTATCAAAAGGTGTGGGGCTTGGGATGCTGGGCTTTGAAAGGTAGATGGGTGCTGTCTGAGTAGAGAAGAATGGGGTGGGGATTTGGGGCAGAAGCACCACGGTTTGAGTATGGGCTTTTCTGTGCATTTTGGACAAGCCATTCCCCTTCTCTGAGTCTTTGTTTCCTCATTTGTGGAGTGGGCAAAATGATATTTACCTTTGAAAGATATAGGCATAGTAAGTTCTGGTTACCATGTACTGAGTGCCTACCACCTTCAGGGAATCAGTGCTTTGTGTGGTATAACTCATTTAATCATCACAAGATCCTTAGGTAGGTGTTATTATTATTCCCATTTTATAGAAAAGCAAACTGAAGCACAGAAAGGTTATGTAACTTGTTAGTAAATTGCAGTCCTAGGGTTTGAACCCAGGCAAGCTTGACTTTCGACTTCATGCTTTTTTTTTTTTTTGAGTTGAAGTCTTACTCTGTCGCCCAGGCTGGAGTGCAGTGGCGTGCTCACTGCCACCACAGCCTTGACCTAATAGGCTCAGGTGATCTGCCTCAGCCTTCCAAGTAGCTGGAACTACAGACACGCGCCACCATGCCCGGCTAACTTTTTATTTATTGTAGAGATCAGACTGGTCTTGAACCCGTGGGCTCAGGCAATCCTCTCACCTCGGCCTCCCAAAGTGCTGGGATTGTAGGTGTGAGTCACTGCGCCTAGCCCAGACTTCATCCTTTAACCACCGTACTCTACTGCTTCTTCTTCTTCTATTTTTTTTTTTTTTTGAGTCAGAGTCTCACTCTGTTGCCCAAGCTAGAGTGTAGTGGTACAATCATGGCTACCACAGCCTCCACCTGCTGGGCTCAGGCAATCCTTCCATCTCAGTCTTCCAAGTAGCTGGAACTACAGGCACACACCACCACACTGGGCTAATTTTTAAAATTTATTATAGAGATGAGGTTGCCAAGTTGCCAGGCTGGTCTCGAACCCCTGGGTTCAGACAGTCCCCTTGCCTAGGCCTCCCAAAGTGTGAGACACTGCACATGCCTCTCCTGCTTTTTTTTTTTTTTTTTTTTTTTTTTTTTTTTTTGAGTTGGAATCTCACTCTGTTACCCAGACTGGAGTGCAGTGGCCGCTCCCGGCCACCACAGCCTTGACTTGCTGGGCTCCGGTGATCCTTCCGCCTCAGCCTTCCAAGTAACTGGAACTACAGGCGCGCGCTACCACACTCGGCTAATTTTGATTTATTGTAGATATAAGGTCTCGCCAAGTTTCCCAGGCGGGTCTTGAACCCGCAGGCTCAGGCAATCCGCTCACCTCAGCCTCCCAAGGCACAGGATTACAGGCTGAGCCACCGAGTCCAGCTCTCTCCTGCTTCTTAAACAAATACTAAGCACTTACGTTTCCCAGGCTGTGAACAAAGTCAAGTCCCTGTCCTTGTGGGGCTTGCTTTCTGTGAATGGTGGCTGTTGGGATGGTGATTTGGGGTGGTTCATACATGTGGTAGGGTAGAGTTCAGGTAGGACTTTAAACTCCAGGCTTAAGGTCTAGGACTTCAGCCTGGAGGCAGTGGGAGCCATGAGAGGGCCTTAGCAGGGGTGAGGGGCCAGTTTTTTGAGGAAGAGCCCTCTGCGGGGTTGTCCTCTGCTCAGTCTCCTCTCCAACCCTACGCTTGTTTACATCTCCCTCAGAGCTAACAGCCCCAGGTCCCCCCATGCATTTCCAACCCCTGTGCCCACCACTCTGGGACAACTTCTGCTGCCCTTTACATGCCTCTACTACCACCTTTATACATACAGCTTCCAATTTTGGGCCCATCTTAGAGATGTGTAGGTAAAGACTCAGAAAGAGACTTCTGGGAGTCCAGGGAGGGCACTCCAACCATCTGCCTGATTTTTCTGACCCTGCTCCCATTATCCCCACCTCTGCACCCCAGACCAGAAGGCCTCCATTCTCGCCAGTGGTCCGGCAGCCAGGACTCCCAGATGGGCTTCCCCCGAGCAGACCCTGCCTCAGATCGCGCCTCCCTCTTCGCAGCTCGCACGCGGCGCAGCAACAGCTCGGAGGCCTTGCTGGTGGACAGGGGAGCTGGTGGGGGAGCCGGCTCCCCACCTGCCCCTCTGGCTCCCCCTGCCGCCGGGCCCCCAGTCTGCAAGAGCAGTGAGGTGCTATATGAGCGCCCCCAACCAACCCCTGCCTTCTCCTCTCGTACAGCTGGTCCCCCAGACCCTCCTCGGGCCGCCCGTCCTAGCTCAGCTGCCCCTGCCTCCCGAGGGCCCCCCCGGCTCCCACCTGTGTGTGGGGACTTTCTCTTGGACTATTCACTGGACCGGGGTCTGCCCCGCAGTGGCGGAGCAGCAGGCTGGGGGGAGCTGATGCCGGCAGCTGAAGTCCCAGGACCCCTCCCCCGCAGGGATGGGCTCCTCGCCATGCTCCCCGGCCCACCACCTGTGTATGCAGCTGATGGCAGCAGCCCCCTCCTCCGCAGCAAGGACTCCCACACCCGTACCACCCGCACCAAGCCCTGTGGCCTGCCCCCAGAGGCTGCCGAGGGTCCGGAGGTGCATCCAAATCCTCTGCTGTGGATGCCCCCACCCACCCGTATCCCCCCAGCTGGTGAGCGCAGCGGCCATAAGAACCTGGCCCTGGAGGGGCTGCGGGACTGGTACATCCGGAACTCGGGACTGGCCGCGGGGCCCCAGCGCCGGCCTATGCTCCCCTCCATGGGCCCACCGCACCCACCCTTCCTCCATGCCCGCTGCTATGAGGTGGGCCAGGCGCTGTATGGGGCCCCCAGCCAGGCGCCGCTCCCACACTCGAGGAGTTTCACGGCACCCCCTGTCTCCAGCAGGTATGGGGGGAGCTTTTACTGATGGGTAGGGGTCTCTTGAGGCAGATGGTGAAGATATCCAGGCCAGGGAGCAGCTAGTCATGATAGCTAATGATTGGACCTCATGGAACCTAGCTGTAGCATTGGCACAGGGTTACTGTGCCTGGCACAACCTGCATTAGTCCATGAGGTCCTGGTGGCGGGGGATCTTGGGTGCTGGGAGTACTAGTTCTTTGCCAAGCTATAGAAAAATTGTAACATCTTAACAACCAGTGCATGTTAGCTAAAAATGAGCCTTGAAGCCAGGGTGCTGGGAGGAAGGGATACCTTGTGCACCTTGCCTTTGTCTTCCTCTTTTTTCCATTCCCCATGCCTGGGAGCCTGAATGTGCTGTCCTGTGCCTGCCTCCACCTCTTTAATGAGACTGTTTTCCTTTCTCTTTCTGTGTCTTGTCTGTCTTTCCTTCTCTTCTCCGCCTTCCCTGCCCTGTCCTCCGGATTCCTGCTATCCCTTCTAAAGATACTACGCGGACTTCCTGTACCCCCCAGAGTTGAGCGCTCGTTTAAGTGACCTGACGCTAGAGGGGGAGCAGTCCTCCAGTTCTGACCCCCAGACCCCAGGGACACTGGTCTGACCCCTTCTGTTGTGCCCCTTGTTGGCCTGGGCATGACTCCAGTCTGGGGAGCACACAGCTGACCTCGCTGAGCCCTGGAGTGTGGTTGCTCTCAGTCCTGGGCAGTACCAACCTAATCATTCTAGGCCCCTGGCTCCCCATGGGCCCAGGGAGGTATCTGACACCCTGCTTCTCCTCTCATGCTGTGCTGAGGACTTAAAAGAGGGGGATGATGTCTTGGGGACTCCAAGCCCCTTCCTCCATTTCTGTTTACAGTTGTGATTTAGGTATTCACTGTCTTCCCCCAACACTAGGCATTTTATAAAAGGGAAACTGTGATCTCATCCTGGTTGGGTTCATTCCTGTTCCCATGCCCAGCCTGTTCCATCCAGGAACCCCCCTTCCTCCCACAAAATGGACCATATAGGGTCTCAGGGCCCTGTTGGGGGAGCCAGGAAAATCCAATATGAACAGAACTCCCTGCCACCCCCTGCCAGGGCAGTTCTTGGGGTGGTGGGCTCTCTGCCCACATTTGGAAGGATTGCAGTCTGGGTGGGGTGCCTGAAGGAGCCTGTCCCTGTCTGTGCCCGCAGCCTCTGCCCTGACCATCCCCAGTAAGGAGGCCCCACAGAAGGGGTAAAAGGCAGAGCCATTGGGTGTGTTGTATCCTGGGATGCTGTGGAGGTTGAGCCTGGCATCTGGTGGATGCCAGTAAAATCCTCAGGTGAGGTCTGGCCACGGGCCACAGGCCACGTCACATCTTCCTTGGCTTTCCTTCCATTCACCACTTTTTAAACAAATCCATACAAACTGTGTTTTCTATGATGCCTGTCTGTGACTTTCTGGAGTTGGGGGTTCCCCTGCCCCCTTTACCTGGTGTTAAACTTTTCTTTTTGTACCAATGGATCTGGGCCCAAGACACTACCCACACTGGAAGGGGATTTCTATAATAAATGTGTAAACTGAACCCTTGTGTTTCTCCTGTCTGCCTTGCCTTGGGGGCCCACACCTTTAGTTAATACCAGACTTAAAAATTATGTATATATGGTACATATGGGGCCGAGGAGAGGGCCAGAGGGAAGGGTCTCACTCTGTTGCCTAGACTGGAGTGCAGTGGCACCATTATAGCTTGCTGCAGCCTCAAACCTGGGATCAAGTGATCCTCCCACCTTAGCCTCCTGAGTAGCTAAGACTACAGGCACCCCACTACCTCGTCCAGCTAATTTTGAAATGTTTTATAGAGACAAGGTCTATGTTGTTCAGGCTGGTTTTGAAATGGGCTCAAGTGATCCTCTTGGCTCAGTCTCCCAAAGTACTGGGAGAGATTACAGGTGTGAGCCACTGCACCCAGCCCCAGATAATGTATAACACCACAGAAACAGCCTGTGCAGGCCGGGCGCAGTGGCTCAAGCCTATAATCCCAGCACTTTGGGAGGCCAAGGTGAGAGATTGCCTGAGCCCGCGGGTTCGAGATCAGCCTGGGCAACACGGTGAGACCTCATCTCTACAATAAATTTTTTAAAAATTAGCTGGGCGTGGTAGTGCGTACCTGTAGTTCCGGCTACTTGGAAGGCTGAGGTGGAAGGATCGCCGGAGCCCAGCAGGTCAAGGCTGCTGTGGCCAGGAGTGTGCCACTGCACTCCAGCCTGGGCAAGAGTGAGACTCCAACAACAAAAAAGAAATAGCCTGTGCTAGTGTCATCTATTTTGACTTTACTTGCTTTGTGATATGGGGCAACTTCTTTGCCTGTCTGCGCTCAGATTCCTAGCCAACCTCAAACAATAACCCTCAGCAATACACTCTATGCCCTTAACTTCCCTGTGCATTAATGTTGATCCAGAGGGTAACAGATTTGAGATCACCCCTTGAGCCCCACATACTTGACAGAGAGACCCACCGGGAAAAGTTTTTAATAGAGTTGAAAAGTAGAAGGCTACTTTTGTCCTTTGAAATGTGGAAGGACTTTTCCAGGAGGCCCATATTGGCTTAAGAGATGCAACAGCTTTTATTGTTGCAGCAATACTGATATATATCTATATATATGTCCCATTCCCTTCTGGGGCCTCCCCCACTCCACCCCTTGGTCCTCAACACTGGAACATTGGGGTGGGGGCAAAATCTTTAAGCAGAGCTGAAGGGAGGCAAGTGAGACTGGTAAAGTTTGTAGTCACCTTGGTCTAAGGGCTCAGTAGAATCAGGATACCTGACTCCACCACATGGGGGCTGGAAACACCGGGTTTTGGGTTCAAGATTTGGCAATGCCTTGACCTGGTTGGAAGTTGAGTGGGATCTGAGAAAAGCTTTGGTCCAGGGTTCAAGGTTTGAGACTGTCTTGCCCCAGGCCCTGTTTTGGGGCTGTGTATGGGAGAAGGATGGGTACCAGATTTGGGTTAGGGGATGTTTCTGGGTCCACAGTTTGAAATTGGCCATGGATGCTCTGGTCTTAAGCCCAATTTCAGGGCTGGGGAAGACCTGGTCTTTAGATAATGGGGAACTGGGTGGGAGGAATATCCTAGTTTGAGACAGGGTGGGGGTAGGGTGGTTACAGATGTTTTTGTATTTTTTTTTCTTGACTGGGCAGGGGACTCTAGGTTCCTATTTTAAGGGCTGTTAAAGGGGACTCTGGGTCCCGGGTATGTGGTGGGGTGGTATTCTCCAGGTCCTGGATACAGATCCCAGGCTCCTAGGATCCAGCCTCCTGCTCTTGTCCCAGCGCCTCAAGTAGCAGGCCCATTGGTGTCCGCTTGAGACCAATGCTCTCGATCTTGTTCTCAATCTTGTTCTTAAGGTTGCGCAGGCGCAGTGAGGCATGCACCAGGATCACTGTGGGCAGTACCGAGAAGAGGGGTCAATGGAATAAACTCAGCCTGTAGCCAATAGGGGCCCACAGTAGGGAACTGGCACTCAGGCAGGCCAACAGAGTGATGCACTGCCAGGATGCCTCTGATCCTGAAACCGTGGCCGGGTAATTCACTTTGCATGGTCAGGGAAGGCACCTGATAACCTGGACGTGGCCAGTGGAAGACACTTAACATCAGGAGTGAAACTCGGGAAGGCAGTAATAAGAGGGGTGTTTCCAAAAGAAGGGAGTGAAGCCAGGGAAGGCGCTTTTAACGGGGGCATGGCCATCTCCCCACTCTCCAACCCGGATGGGACAGGGCAGGCCTGGTGCCTTGAGCACGCGCTGGCCATCTTCCCGGCTATGTTGGGGTAGTGTAGACTCACAAAGCACTGGCCCAGCAACGCTGAGCAGGAAGATGCAGGCGCCGCCTGCAACCCAGAGAACGAGGAGACCGACGGCAAGCACTGAGGCCAGGCAAGCGGCAGGGTGGCTACGGCGACAGCGGCGCACAGCTGCACGGGTCTCAGCCGCCCACACCAGCACGCCGAGGGCCACCACCACAACCAGCGTGCTTAGGAGCGCATGAAGTGGGCGCACATACCTGCGGGGACAAGGGAACTAAGCTAAGTGGGGAAGGGGCCGTCCAGCCTCCCGGGACCACCATCCACCAGACCTTAGGCCCCAAGAGCCAACTGCCCCGTCTCCGGACACCTTGGCAAATACTTTCGCCAACCCTGCCTCCAATAGGTCCATCCTCCAGGGCTTCTGAATCCTGTGGACCTCTCATTTCCTCCCTGTCAATTCTACAGTCCCGTCTTCCTGAGGTCCCCGCTTCAGGCCCTCCCATTCCACTAGACACCATCCCATCCTGTCCCCCTACGACCCGGGCTTCTAACATTTCTCTGGTCTTTCCTTCCGACTCTACTCCCCCACAGCCCCTCTCCAGGCCCTGAACCTGCCCCCAAACTTCCTCTTTCCCAGCCCCTGCAAATCCCTCTTCCAGGCCTCTCTCCATGCATTTCCCACTCCCCAGACCCAAGGGTGCTTACAGAACCTCTTTCCAGGCTTCCTTCCCTTCAAATATCCCCCTCCAGGCTCCCATTTTGCTATATTCCTCCCCCTATCATTGCTAGAACCTCTTCCAGACTTTCAGTCTCCCTCTTAACTTCCAGCCTTGCCCAAGTCCCTCCTCCAGATTCTCCATCTCTCTCTGGTCTCAGGCTTTCCAAACCTGGGCCCTCCCTCTGGGACCCAAGTTCTCCAATAGGTACTTGCTCCTGGCGCATTCCAGTCCTAACCAGGCTCCCCTCCAAGACCAGATCCTCTACAAGTCCATCTTCCAAAGTCCTAAACTTTGCCACGTCCCTGTCCTTGTCTCTGCCCTAAGTCCTCAAGGGCCGCCTTAATCTGGCCCCATCACTCACATCAATACCCGCCCCCCCGCACCCACTAAGTACTCTCATGTTCCCCTTTTCAGACCCTCATCTTCAGACCCACCTCCCAGCCCACTTTCCCTTTCCCCTTCAGTTCCACACTTTTCTCAATCCTCCCTAAGTCTTCCCTCCAGACCCTCCATCCTCCGTAGGCCCTCCTTAGCCAGGCTCCATCCCATGAGGCCCTCCTTATAACCAGATTCCACCTTCTTCAAGACCTACTTCCATGCCCCTCATTCCTTCCATCTCTCCTGAATTCGCCCTTCCCGGCCTTATATTCCCCTCAAGTTCCCCCTTCCGGTCCTCAAAGACCCTCCACCCTCCACGCCCTGAAGACGTCCCCGACCAACCAGCGCCTCTTCCTCCCTCACCCGGCCAGAGCGAGACCGAAGCCGAAGCAGAGAAGGTAGTTGGTTTGGTAGTAGAGGAGGTTGTTGATGACGCGGTGACACCATCGCTGCGGGTCGCAAGGATCCGGAGCCGCCAGACGCGCAGACCCAAGAACAAAATCATCTAGGGCGCGTAGCGGTGGCAGCCGCACCTCCGACATCCTGCCAGTTGATGTTTCTGGACCAGCTAAAAGGGCGACCGGACTACAACACCCGTTACACTTTGCGCCGCCGCGAGGCACGCCGGGAGATGGAGTCTGGCTGGCGTCTATTATCCCTCCGGCCTAGTTGGACTACGCCGGTGCGATGACGCACGTGACCGGAAATGGAACGCACGCCGCACAGCAAGGCAGCAAAGGCTGCCGGGAAATCAAGCCACCGCCGGAGAGCGAAACGCTTCCAACCCTTGAAACTGCAATCCACCCCCGGGCGGGGCACCGTGGAGGACTGTTCTGGGCGGTGCCGGCGGCTCCTGCACACACTACCCAGACAGATAAGAGAGGAGGGACGACATGTCAGAAGGACCGACCTGGATTCCACCTCCTTCCTGTGAGGGTCCAAGAGGGTCACACCTCTCCTGGAAACTCAATGCCCCGCCCCGAGGTAAAGCCGTAAATGCTGTTTAGGGCCTTTTATTCATATTCATCACATCAGATATCATCTCTAACTGGAAAGCTTTTTAAAATTCCCGGGTTGTATTAGCTCACTCCCTCTGGGTCCCTGGTAGTTTTCTCCAGGGTAGGGATCCCAGGGGGTCTGCTGCCTTTCTGGGTACCTGGCCAGGCCCTTGGGGCACACAGTCATCAAGAAGTGCTTGGGGGAAGTGAGTTGTTTATTTAGACAGCTCTGCTGAGTGGAAAGTGGGCACCAGCCCCATTAATGCTTGTTGGCTGGCGGCTTCCACTGGACTCCCCAGCGCCAAGGCTCAGCTGTGCAATCTGCCACTGCAGGTCCCTAGCACAGCCCCCAGGGTCTTTAAAAGTCATCATCATCACAGATGTCAAGATACACGTCGAAAGCCTCTCTGTTGCAGTTTCCATCAGGAGTGAAGACATATTTGTGGAAGGTCCCATCTACGCAGATGGCTGGGGGATGGGGGTGGTGGTGAAAGGTTAGAGGCTGCCACAGCCACACACTCCAATCCACTCTGGTGTCCCATGGCCTAAGGTCTACCTCCAGGCCTTTGCCCAAGTGCCATCCCCCTTACTGCTGAGGAAGTTGAGCCACACTTTGGCTTCCCATGGCCCTAAAATTATTTCAGGTCCAACCTGCAGGCCTCTGCCCATGCAGTACCCTCAACCAAGGGGTTATTCCCACTCACCAATTACAGAGTTGACGTTCTTGGAAGTATTGCGACCGAAGGCGCAGATGCAGGCTGACTCAGCAGGCACAGTGAAGCTCGCCAGGCTCCACTGAGAGTCCACGTACTGCCCAATCATAGGCCCCACCTTGCCCACGCGAGCCAGCCTGCAGGCAGCACTGGCTAAGCCCACGTGTGGTAAATGGGCAGGGGGATGGGGATGTGGAGGGTGGGCTAGGGAATACTCACGCGGAGCGGCGGTTGAGGCGAGTATCCTTGAGAGCAAAGATATGGACGGTGCCCTTATCACTGGAAGCGCAGAGGAAGGAGGAGTCGTGACTGAAGTTAATGCTGGAAGACAGACCAGCAGTGATGTCCACATGTCATGTGGCATAGGGTCACCAGCCTGCCATACGTGCCTGTGCTCACCAGTAGAGGGTGGCAGGGTCAGTGCCTCGGCGCAGCTCCACCAATTTCTCCTTGGATTGTGTGTCAAAGAGGCGAATAAGGGTACCCTTCTGGGAGGCTGAAGCCACTACAGTGCCTGGCTGGTTCAGGGACACACAGGCCACATCACTCTGATGTGCATTGATGGTGAATGGAGCAGATGAGGTGCCTGGCTTTGTGCTCGCCAGGTCCTGAGGAAGAAGGGAGCAGTTTGGGTTCCCTTGCAGGGAAGGAGCCAAGAGTCCACAGGGAGAACCAGCCCAGCCACATACCCACCCTTGCCCACTGGACTGCTCACCACAAGTTGCAGACTCCCGCACTTGTGTCCTGGGAACACTAGCAGTTGCTTCTCCAGGCTGGGGCAGAGGTCACAGAGACCTAGGATGTGAAGATGAAGGAGGGATGGCAAGTGAAGGGGAGGCAGGGCCTCGGAATGGACAGAGCCGGATAAGGTCCAGACTTCAACCTTCCATGATATACGTTACCTACAGAATCCTTGTGGGGGTTCAGCTCAGCTGCACGCCCCACCAACTAGGCAGATTCCCTTCTTCCCCAGGCAGCCGTGGATTCTAGTAAGCTGCTGTGACAGTCCCTGGAGGGCCAGGGATCCCTGACACACCCACCCATGTCCTCACCAGGTGTTTCTGCTCTGCCATCTGGGGCACCCAGGGGTGGGGAGAGAGAACTGGCTGAGGGACAGAAAGGTGAACAGACTGCGAGTGTGAGCATCTCTCTGAACAAAGACTCTCTCCCTGTCTCTTCCAGTTTCTCTGTGTGTACATGTGCTCCTCATCTCTGCCCGTCTGCCCCATCCACTGTCTCATGCCCTTACACCTGCATATCTCTCACCCTTGGGGTTGTCCCGGGTATCAAACTCAAACAGCTTTCGGGGATTGTCAGGGAAGGAGTACACATAGATGCGGTTCCTCAACACGATCACGATCCTGTAGGCATCACAACACAGGGTGGCCATGAGAGGGCAGGATGCTCAGGTGGGACTAACCCTCTCACCTGCTGTGGGAACCTCTTACCCACCCCCCCAGTCCACCTCAGGCTCACTTGTCATGGCGCATGCGCACAGCCAGCACTGGCTTGGTGAAGGTGAACTCCAGCACCAGCTTGTCCTTGGAGTCCTTGCCCTCCCGGGCATCGTCCCAGATCAGCACTGCTGGGCAGGTGGGTGGGTTGTCGGGGCCAAGGTTTAGGGTGAGGGGCAGCCCTGGTGACACAGGATCCACCCCTACTTCCCGTGGGACCTCAACTCACTTGCTTAGCCTTTCGTTAAACACCCAATGTGAGCCTCACACAGCATGAACACTCGTGGACATGATCCAAGAGAACTGGTTCTAGAACTGTTATACTCATTTACAGATGAGGAAACAGGTTTGAAGGGCTGAGTGGCCAAGGACCTCACAGCCCATCAGCTACCAATTAGAGACTCACACTCAAGGCTGTAACTTCTCTTCAGTAACTATTTCGGCCTTCAGAGTCCTAGTCCATACCCCCAGGAGACTTCTGTGAGGAATCCTAGGGCTCTGTGACTCACTAAGGGTGACTCCTGCCATGTCCTGGTGGAATCAACAAGAAAAACCCTTACATCAAAATGGCACTTGAGGCTCAATCCAAGAGGGTGCTGGGGAAATGGTTCCAAGATTTTAAAACCTATTGGTTGCTTGGCCTTGGATAAGTCATTTAACCTCACTTGGCCTCAGTTTCCTCATTGGTAAAAATGGGGCTAATGATACTTCCTACTCCATAGAGTTACTGTGAAGATTAAATGAGTTAATACACGAAAAAATGCTTAGAACAGTCCCAGGCTCACGGTAAGTGCTCAGTAGATAAGGACATAGCATACAGGAGGCACTCAAGTATTTTTAAAATGAAAACAAGACACCAAGCTTCCCAAGCTATAACACCCATGACTTCCATGCTCTAGGCCTCACTGTGTGACTCTTGAGGTGCTCTGACGTCTTCATCTACCAGTGTCTTGGGGTGCCTGCGGGAGGCCAGGAATTTGGGGAATCTGGGCCAAGGGCAGGATGAAGGCACTTACCTGAGATTTCTGAGAACTTGGGGCTACTACCACCGCCCACCAGGGCCAGAAGGTTGGAGCGGTGCAGCATCTCCACCAAGCCCATGCTGCCCACTTGTTCATGGTCTGGACAGGGACCAGGGTGTCAGTGGAGGTGGGAGCAGGTGCCCAACCCAGCTCTTCTGTCCACTGCCCCATCCCAATGGCTCACCCAGATGCCCCTTCTCCATCAATGGCTCCACATTGTAGATGCGCACACCTGTCTCCATGGCACAGCAAAAGCAGCCTGGGGAATGGAAGGAATCCAGATTGCCTCAAAGAATGCCCAGGTAGGAATCTGGGGGCCATGGCCCACCTCTGACCTCTCCCTCCCTCCTCTCTCACTTTGGTCTTGGTTGAACCGCAGGCTGGTCACTCCCCGAAGTGGCTGTTGAGTCATGGTCCAGGATTGTTTCCCTGGACACAAATGGGATAGAGATGGGAAGAGTCCTGGGGTCTCCCCTCCAAGTCCTAGCATTCCTGTCTCCAACTGATTTCTTCCTCCTCCCACTTTGTTAACTACTGACTCTGGCAGGACTGCAAAGATAAACCCAGGGACTCTGCTCTAAGCTCCCAAGACCCCAAAACAGCACAGTCAGGAACCCCCCCATCTATCCACACTTAGCCAACCCCAGCTCCAGGTCTACACTGATCTGGACCCCTCACTTCTTCCTTACACGTCAGCCCTCACTGACTCATCAGGAAATAATAGGATAGGCGAAGCTGGAGCACGATCCCAGGGTTGGTTGGGGTCTGGGGAAAGGTTGGGGTCTTGGTCAACGGGGGGTCTAAGACAGGGGTCTTGATTAGGTGCCCCTAGTGACGTCTCCTCCCCATCCCCAGCCAGTCTTGGCCCCAGTGCTGGACATTGTCTGGAACCACTCCCAACCCATTTCTCATCTTCACACCTGGACCCAGCACCAGGCTCCACCTGTCAATCAATAGAGGAAAGGGGGCTAGGCCATCTGCCTCTTCTTGCACCTCCCTGCCCTTGCCCTGAGACTGCTATGTTTGGTCCACCGCCCCAAGGAAGTCACCTCCTCTAGTCCTCTACCTCTACCCCAGCCTATTCAGCTACCCCAGAGTCCTCCCACACCTTCCCTCCTCATATGCTTTCACAAACCTTCAGGATCCCATGCTTACCTTGGATGACCCCTTCTCATGCCTTGCTAACTCTCAACCAGAGTCAGCTGGGCATTCACACAGATCCCCTGGGAACCCTACCCCAGGATTCTCCCATCACTCTGCTCTGCCCCAGGGCACCCATACCCTCTGAAGACCCTTGGCCAGGAGAAATCATCCTAAACCCCTGCCTTCCAAGATGCCTGCCCACCCATCTACAAGATTACTGCCCTAGAACCTCCATCCTCCCTTCAAATCCTCATCAAGACCTCTG